GGTGGGAGGGAGGGAGGGAGGGAGGGAAAGAGAGAGAAACATTGATGTGAGAGCAACACATGCAGGCTGTCTCCTGCATGCCCCCTTACCGGGGATCCAGCCCACAACCCAGGCACGTGCCCTAACCAGGAAAAACTGGCAACTTTTAGATGCACAGGAAAACGCCCAACCAAGCCACCCTGGCAATAATTTTTATCCTAGGGCCACGGTATAGCTAATTTTCAGTTAAAATACATATAAATTCACTGTAGTATATGCAATAAATTTTACCCTCTATCACAAAGCATTTCTCCTAATCTGAATTATTTTGTCTGCAAGCTCCACGGTGGCAGTGACCTTGTTTATGACGTACTGCTCTCTAGTACCCTGAACAGTGACTAGAACACAGGAGGCCAAAAATAAAATCTATAGAATGAATCAGTGTATGAATATATACTAAGAGTGTTTCTCAAACTTTACTGTGCTAAAGAATCATCTATGGATCTTGATAAAATGCAGATTCGGATTCAATATCCAGTTATAGGGTCAGAAAGTTTATATTCTAACAAGCCCCTGGATAAAGAAGTTTTCTGTTGATGTGGAGCTCATACTTTATTTAGCATTTAAATAATATAAACAGTCCTCAAAGAACTGAGCCACTTTACTTCAAATTGGTTAACTGATAAAGCCAGCGGCTAACTATACAAATGTCCTTAAACCCTCAAATATCAATATTAAATATCAAAATAACCCTTTTCAGAAAAAGGTGCCTTTTAAATTCTACGGTGCATTGTCAAGCAGCAAACCATTTGTTACTTTCAAATGAAAATGACCACAAAACTAAGATGAGACTTATCTTTCATAAATATATATAAAAGCAGCAGATCACATATGGGGTTTATGTACCAGATTCTATTCTAAGGCTTTACATTAACTGTCAATCCTCTTAACAATCCTATGAGATAGACTTTAATATTATCCTCATATCAGTATTATCCTCAATTTATAGATAAGAAAACTGAGAAACAGAGGTTAAAAAACTTGCTCAAGGTCATACAATTAGAAAGTGGCTCAGCCTGAGCAGGCAGCCTAGCACAAGAATCCATGTTCTTAATCACTCTTTTACATAACCTTGTATATAAATGTACCTTATCATTATTACTCAACCACTGCTCTCCTATTTTTTTCCTTCCCCCAACTCCAAAGGCTAGAATAATTCTTACCTTGCTCAACTGCAAATTTTGTAAATTCTATAAATTTACATTTCCCATAGCCAATTCAACAAATATTTTAGTACCAACTTAAGTACATTATGTTGCTCTGTCGATAAGGGAAAAAGTGCCAATAAACACACATTCAGCAAATCTCTGATCTCCTTTGAAAAATAATCATTAAAAACTGGGACATTTTTGAAAATGAAACGTGGTGAGATATCTGTTCCAGAACAGATATACTGTGTATACTGTGACTGTCCAGGACAAAATGGGAAGTATGGTCTCCCTACCTGTTTTGTAGTTTGCAGTATCTAGTGGTATGAAACACTAGCAAACTAGCTCAGCTGGTGTGGCTCAGCTGGTTGAGTGTTGTCCCACACACCAAGAGGTCACCAGTTCGATTCCTGGTCAGGGCACATGCCTGGGTTGTGGGCTTGATCCCCAGTAGGGGGCATGCAGGAGGCAGCCAACTGATGACTCTCATCGATGTTTCTATCTCTCTCCCCCCTCTCTCTCTATAAAATCAATAAAAACATATTTTTTTTTAAAAAAAGAAACATTAGCAAACTATGTGCTACACAAACCCTGATTACTCCTGACTTTTCTGCCCTGACACAGAAAATGTTTTTCTCAATAACATATATACCAAATTAAACTTACCACCTCATCTTTGGAATCTGGCTTTACACCTACAGTTCATACCCTACCCCTAGTAATATTCATCTAAAGCACTCCTCTGTCTTTGGTTTAGAGCCAGCAATATATACATACAGAGATAGTTTCTGAACCAAAGATTGGTTCAAATGGTCTGACAAAGCAACAGAAAAGGGAGAAAACATGAATATGTGATATTCAATAGTTTCTTTTTATTGCATTTACTTAATGCTTATACGTTAGAAAAAGTATTTTTTCCAAAAGAGGAAATATAAAGTGCCTATTTGCATTTTATCATTTGTATTCCTTTAAATCTTGCATGAAATGAGTCTGTATTTTAACATACTAAAGTCTTCATTCTTGTTTTATTTTTTTAAAATTGATTTTAGAGAAAGAGGAAGGGAGAAAGAGAAACATCAATTTGTTGTTCCACTTAGTTATGCATTCATTGGTTGTTTCTTGTATGTGCCCTGACCAGGGATCAAACCTGCAATCTTGGCGTATCAGGACAACACACTAACCAACTGAGTTACTGGGCCAGAACTTCATTCTTTTTTTTTAAAGTTTTATTTGTCCAATTAAAACTATACTGTTAAACTATAAATTTTTTTAAAAAATAAGGTAATTAATTACCCTGCTTGCTTTATCCGAATCAAAGCAAATTAGTAACAAGTCTGGAATTAGAACTCAAAAAGTTACATATCTCTTAAATCAATACTATTTCACAGTAGTTATTACAATTACTGGTGGTGCTATCATGTAGTTTTGATAAACTTACCAGAAATATTTAAAGCACAAATTTCAGTCATTTTGGAAGGCAACTACTTATATACTAGACAGTTTACATTACAATAGTTACTGTAATAAAATTACAGTGTCTGTCAAGCCCTTACCTAATTATACTATGTTACAAGGTTTACTTAATACATAAACATGAAGACAAACAAACTCTGTCAGAAGAAATTATTAATCTCAAATTATAGGCAGGAACTTGAGGCTCAAAAAAGTCCTCACTCGCCAGGCCAGGCGTGGCTCAACAGTTGAGCATTGACCTAGGACCCAAGCGGTTGAGGTACGATTCCCAGTCAGGGCACATGCCTGGGTTGCGGGCTCAATCCCCAGTAGGGGGCATGCAGGAGGCAGCCGATCAGTGACTCTCATCATTGATGTTTCTCTCCCTCTCTCTCTCCCTCTCCCTTCCTCTCTTTGAAATCAATAAAGATATATTTTAAAAAAAAAAAAAAAAGTCCTCACTTGCCTCAGGTCATACAGCTAATATTTGAACCCAGATTTCCAAAACCCTTACAGAAAATCACAATACATTAACACATCAATACAAAAGTTTACAATGTTTTCCATAAGACTAAAAAACCTTCCTCAAAAATTAAACTTTAAACAGGCGTTAAGCAAAACACAGACAATAGGAACGATAAATTAAAAGGCTGTCAACACTATCAGAGCTAGTCATTTTAAATTTTCACTTCAGGATATACAAAGAGGAGGTTAGAAGCCAGCCAGTGTGGCTCAGTGGTTGAGTGCTGACCTATGAACCAGGAGATCACAGTTCAATTCCCCAGTGAGGGCACACGCCCAGGTTTCAGGCTCAATCCCCAGTAGAGGGTGTGCAGGAAGCAATCAATGACTCTCATCATTGATGTTGCTCTCTCCCTCTCCCTTCCTCTCTCTGAAATCAATAAAGACATATTAAAAAAAAAAAAAAAAGGTGTTTTTTTTTTTTACTTCAAATTGAAAACTGAATTAGTTTCTCAACTTCCTCTACTTTCCATTCCTCTGTAATACAGACTCAGACCCCATTCTAACTAGAGGGTCAAAATCTTTTTTTTAAGCTCCTAGGTAGAAGACCAAATCACAATACATTAATACAAAAATTTACAATGTTTTCACAGATTTCCCATGTCTGTACTAAGGATCACTTCCACTAACTGGGAAATAATATAAAGCTGGAATAACATACGAAAACTGATAAAAAATATTTCAGTATCAATTTTTAGTTTTTCACATATTGTACTTTGAAGCACCATGAGATACTTTTACATCTTTATGTTCAACTGAGCATTTTATTTTATTCCACTTTTCACACTTCAAAAATTTTTACTTTATTTTCAGTCCATTATATCTAAGAATATTTTTATTTAAAAATGTTTTATTCATTTTTAAATTCTGCATCAAATTGCAATAAATATTCCAAAATCAAATAGTTTAAGAATCACTCAGCTATTCGCTTATTTATAATTCTTCTTGAAAATTACTTCACAATTCGTTTAGGCACTTTCTTCTTTTCTAAGTCACTTTAAAAAAAAAGGGGAGCTCAGTTGGTTAAAGCGTTGTCTCAATACACCAAAGTTGCGGGGTTCAATCTCTGGTCAGGGCACATACAAGAATCAACCGATGAATGCATAAATAAGTGGAACAACAAGTTGATGTTTCTCTCTCTCAAATCAATTTTAAAAAATAAAATAAAATAATCATTTCTAGCCAGTGCTATCTAATAACTTTTTATAAATAATTATTTAAGCTAATGGAGAAAAACTGAGTGCTATGCATAGGCATACTACCTATAATTACTGTAATATAAAATTAATGAAAAATTATCTAGGTAAATATCCCACTATTTTCAGACACTAAGGCTAACCTAAATGTAAAATGTTATCACCTAAAAAGAGCAGAAAACATTGGAAGTCAGGTAAACTACTTTTAAAATTATGTAATATCTGGGGGGAGGGGAGAATGGGGAGTTGATTAATGTGTATAGTTTCAGTTTTGCAAGATGAAGAGTCCTGGACATGGATGGTGGTGACAGTTGCACAACCATGTAAATGTACTTAATACCACTGAACTACACACTTAAAACAATGAAGATGATATATTTTATGTTATGCGTATTTTGCCATAATTAAATACAATTTTTAAAAGTTATATGAGAGTCATCAAAGCATCTTAGGGTGCATAAAACTCTCTGCTATCTAAGTAAGTGGTTTTAAGTTGTCATTTACAGGGAAAATCATAAACAGACAGAAATCCTATTAAAAAACAAACAAACAAAACATCACCAAACAACTACAGCAGACATAACTGGCTGAAAATATGGGGGGGGATGATCTTAAAAATGAAAAAAATATTAGCAAGCATAAAAAAACATGAAAAACTTGCAAACTGTCTCCTTGGTGCTCAAAAATTTAAATAACTCACTAGTAGCCAGAATAAGGGAGCTGTTTCAAACTTACAGAATTTGTTTAACAATTTATGTTGTAACATGCTTGACAATTTTGTGAATTACCCAAATATTTTTACCTCTTCCCAGAGAGCTACTGTATGTGTCTCCTTCAAAACAGAGGAGAGAAAAAAACCTACTTTATTCAATATAGCCATTTGTCTGCAAGATCAAGTTAAAAAAAAGTGACATCTAGATATTATTTAAAATAAATATACATTCCTCTCAAGTGCACATGGGTCATTCTCAAAGATAAACTACATGTTAGGACACAAAACCAGTTTCTACAAGTTTAAGAGGATTGAAATCATATCAAGCACCTCAGATCACAAGAGCATGAAATTAGAAATCAACTACAGTAAAAACGCTCAATATTCAAACACATGGAGGCTAAATAGCATGTTATTAAACAATAAATGGGTTACCAATAAGATCAAGAAAGAAATCAAAAACTTCCTGGAAACAAATGAAAATGAAAACACAACAACCCAAAATCTATGGGACATAGGAAAAGCAGTCGTAAGAGGGAAGTTCACAGCACACTGCAGGTCTATCTCAAAAAGCAAGAAAAATTTTTAGTAAAGTATCTAACCCTACAACTTAAAGAATTAGAAAGCTTCCCTGTGAGGCTGTCCAGACCAGGGCTTTTGTTTGCTGGGATTTTTTTTTATTACTGCTTCGATTTCACCAGTTGTTATTGGCCTGTTCAGGTTTTCTGATTCTTCCTCATTCAGTTTTACATGATCTCACTCATATGTGGAATCTAATAAAATAGACTGAGGAACAAAATAGATCCAGAGACATAGAAGCATGCAACAAACTGATGAATCTCAGTGGGAAGGGAGTGGGTGGGGAGAGATTACTCAAAGAACTTATATGCATAACCCATGGACACAGACAATAGTGTGAAGGCCTGGGGGGGGGGCCATGGATGCAAGGTGGAGGGGATCAATGGGAAAAAAAGGGTTTATCTGTAATACTTTCAACAAAAGATAAATTTAAAAATATATAAATAAAATCTGTACCCAGGATAAAAACAAACAAACAAAAAACTTAAAATAGGATTCCTGCTGAGCCAGCATGGCTCAGAGGTTGTGCATGGACCTATGATCCAGGAGACAGAGGTTAGATTCCCGGCCAATCCCCAGTAGGGGGCGTGCAGGAGGCAGCCGATCAATGACTCTCATCAATGATATTTCTCTCTCCCTCTCCCTTCCTCTCTCTGAAATCAATAAAGATATATTTAAAAATAAATAAATAAACTAAAATAATATAAAATAGAATTCTTTGCCTGTCTATTTGAAGCAAAAAAATCTAAGTGTTTTAGAGTTCTCATTGCAGCTTAAACATTCACTGGCTTTATAATCTTGGGTAAGTTTCTTAAATTCTCTGTGCCTTAGTTTCTTTATGTCTAAAATAGAGATAATAATGCCACCTACTTCATAAGTAGGCTTGAATAGATGTATATACATGCATAAATGCAAAAACACTTAACAGGCCTGATACATAGTAACAAAATACATGTGCATACCACTATTATGCTATTGCTGTTATAATTACTATTATCTATCCCACTGATTCATTATAAATTAGTAAGCTGGAGTCTCTCCAGAAAAATGCACTCAGTAAAAGATTTTGAACACAACTGCAGAGGACTCATAGATCCCAGATTAGAGAAGTCCAAAGATGATCCACATGCAAGTTGGTTTATAGTAAAGTGCTTCTTAACCTCTCCTGTGCCATGGATCTCTTCCCAAAATAACATTTTTAAGTATATGAAACACTAAGGCTCACAAAATTAACCAATTATATTTATCAAAGTATTTTAAAGTTTCTAATTTAGTAATAAATGTGCTTTATTAATGCATTAGATAACAAAATTTTTACATATAATAAAGAGTAATGGGCATAAACAATATTTCAAGATAGCTGTAAAAACTGTAATGATATGAAAATATTTCTCTTGTTGCATCCATTGAAATTTCAAGAATTTTCATTTCTATATTTCATTAGAAGCTAGTGAAAATAAACAGGAAATTTTTTCCCTTAACCAAGTTCATGGACTTCCTCAATTCTATCTAGGCACCCAGATTAAGAACGCTTGGCTTAGGAGAAAGTAAAAATAAGTTCTGGAGCGAGAGATTTGCGTTCTAGAAGCCAGACTTCAGACTTTAGTCCCCACATTATTCACACCTGAGTGACCTCAGACATCTTCTGAGCTTGGGGTTTTTTTTAGAACTCTTGTATCGTGAAGTTATAAGGATCAAATATTAGTTAACAAAATACCAAATGACCAGTGTTATTGTTTTTTTTTTTTTTACCGACTTATATATTCAGCCCATGTATTTAGTGACACGTTAATTTTCAATAAAACTCATTAGGAGAAAAATTTAAAACCACATACTGATTCACAAAGAAAACAACTAATGGAAACATTAGTTTTATGTTAACAGTTTAGTGAGAGCCATGATTTGTCATTAGAATGACCTGTTATCTAAACCTCAATTCCACTTCCTTACTTTTACTAAGTTACTAAGTTACTTAACCTCTCTACCTCTCATTGGTAAAACATTGCATTGTTTTAGATACAAGAGAGGATCTAACTTCAACACTCAATAAATGGAGCTATTATTAAAGTTCACATTTTAACAAAGCCAAAAAGGAATCAATATGGAACTCGAGTTTACTTTGGAATTATGTTGAAATAAAACTTCACAGTCCTTTTGCCTGGCAAAACACATACACGCTTAAATCTGCAGCATTTAAAGGGCATAAGTTCCTAACACAAACTGGCATTGCTTAAAATTATTCTGCCCAAAGAAAAACGAGTATAAAAATCGGTCAAAAGAATGGGTTCAAGTAATTTTAAAACTTTCCATGCTTCACCTGGAATATTCCAATGAATGTTTATTATCAATACTGGACATACTATAAGGTCAATTTAGAACTCAAGATCCCACATTTATCAGATACACTGATTAGATAAAAAGTGTGTGTTATTTCTTTTACACAGAGTATTACAGAATAAGATCCCTCCCTTCCCCCGAAAAGACTCGCCATAGACTGGCCGATTCATTATACAACCTGTAAATTCCTTCCCTCATTGAAAAGATTCTTTTTATGGGCATAGTTAACAAGTGCCAAGTTGCGAAGTTTGCAGCTTTGCTGGTTTGACGTTTTCACAATGCAAGAACAGTATGATCTGGAATCTACTCAAAGCTTTAGCCAGGCAGTCAGCTGATGCTCACTGCACACAAGAAAAAGACAGAAATAAGAGAAATTAAACCTCGTATATTTGTGTAATGCAGGTACCCACTACCTAAAATTAAAAGAGGCCAACAGCTGGCGTTCCAATTACAAGTTAAAAAAAAAGTATTTATATTAAGTAACAATACAAAAACTGGCTTTCCCCGGACTTAGGTTTCTCTCATTCCTAGAATCTTCCTTGCAAAGGGCTTTTATCGGTTCAAAAACCCAAGCCCTCATGTCGGAGCCGCTGCTTGAGTAACTTTTACAAAAGGTCAAAGCGGTGCCTTTCAAACCTTCCAAATCCTATTGGCTTCTCCTCCGCTCACAGTAACTCACTTTCCACCCACAGAACGTTCCAGAGACCAAAGGACGGGAACCAAACAAAATTTGGTGGGGGTTGCTAAAAAGAGGCTTTCAACTTTCTTTTCAGACACACTTACCGAATTTCACCTTCCTCGCTCCGCGGCCCCACATGTTGCTCGCCTGTCTCCCAGAGGGCCCCGCGAGCCTCGCTTCAACCCCAGAACGCGCCCACCTGATTCCCCTTTTCTCCGCAGACTCCGCCCCACGCACTCCTCCCCCCACGCGCGCCTGTTTGCCTCCTTCAGGAGCCCCATATGGGACACTTTCCCCTTCCTCTGGTCCTCACGCCGCACCAGACAAGGCTTGATTCTCCGCCTTCGATGTTCCCCTACTCCGGCCCTCACCTCCCATAGCTTCCTAAAGTGTGAGCGCGCTGAACTGGAGCCGCGGGCCTGCGCGGCCCAGGTGCTGTGTCAGCCTATGTGCCGGTTCCGCGGCGTGTACGGCCTGGAAAGTCACATGGCGGTGGGACCGGCCGGCGCCTCCACACTCCTGCTCTCTTCAGGGCAGGACGAGATTACCCAGTCCACTCACCTCCACGAAGAGCAACATGTCTTCCCCCGTTTGGCCCAATCGTTCTCGCCGCTGCTACTCCCACTGGCTTCCAGGCCCAAGCCCCAAACGGTAGGATAAGGACACTCGCCTGGCCCCACCACCCGGCAGTGCACCCGGCTCCTCCCCCGCCGTCAGCCGCGGAGGCCTGACCCGCCCAGTCCCACCTCCCGAGCAAAAGCAACTGTTTCCTGTCCTGAAGAACAATTGCTTCCGGGAGGAGAGAAAATCCTCGGCGCCCTCGGCTTCTGCTCCACCTTTTCCAGAAGCAGTGTGGGATGTACTATCCGCGGTCCTGCGGGAAGGAGGGAAGCGGCCGAGGGCGGCGCCATTCTGTGCTACGGAGGGGTGCGAAAATCTTACTGCGTTTCATCCGTTGCCAAACGGGTTGCTACCACGGCCAAAATTTCGCAGTTTTCGTAGCTCAAAGTCTAGATCTGAGCAAAAGTCGAGCTTGTGCGAAGTGTCCTGGTTCTTTTTCTTTCGTGTGTGTGTGTGTGTGTGTGTGTGTGTGTGTGTGTGTGTGCGTGCGCGCGCGCGCGTGCGTGTNTCAAAGTCTAGATCTGAGCAAAAGTCGAGCTTGTGCGAAGTGTCCTGGTTCTTTTTCTTTCGTGTGTGTGTGTGTGTGTGTGTGTGTGTGTGTGTGTGTGTGCGCGCGCGCGCGCGCGTGCGTGCGCGCGCTCGAAGTGCCGAAAAGGTGGTGGCTCACGGAAAAAAAGTAGAGAAGAAAAAAAAAGCAGTAATAGTAAATATATTAATAGCAGCGGCTGTATTCACTGCTTACTATGTGTTTGGCCCTAGTCTAAGTATTTTATGGTAATTAATCTTAAAACCATTATATGCAATAAATACTATTATCCCCATTTTACAGTTGAAGAAGCCCTCTGGGAGGGCGGGGTTCACTTAGACACACCTTCAACGAACTTTGTCCTTGTTAGCTTGAATCAGATACCCGCTTAACACAAAGCTACTATATAATACTTAGTCTAGATAGCTTCTTGTCCTGCCATCAATTCAAATGGAATTTTAAATATATATATATTTTTGAAGTTTAAAGTGAAAGTAAGTTTATTAGTGAAGCAGTGAGACTCCACAGGCAGAGGGGTCAAAACAAAACAAAAATTTTTTAAATTATCTTTATAATTGTCTGATTATTCAAATTCCTTATTATCTTACTATCCTTCCCTCATCAATCCCACTTCCATATCCTAGTCCAGGCACTCATCTTTTGAAATAATCATGTCTTGATCTTTTCCAGTGGGTTGTTTTCCATTCTATTATTTATAAAATCTTCCTAAAGTGAAGGTTTCATTTTCACCAAACTGCTGTTACTTGCTTTCAAGATGGTTCCAATCCTATGTAATCCTCCTTACTTTACCTCAAACGAATTTCCTTACTTTTCACTTAGATACCAAATTAATTCCCCCATCAAATTGCTGATATTTGTGTCTCATACTCTTCCTAATCTGATCATCAGTGAGTTCAACATTACATCATCTCAATTAAACCAATCTCCTCACTTTCCCCCCCTAAAATACAAGCTCAGCACTCACCTCCAAAGCCATGGCTCAAAGTGTCTTCCCTATCTGGAAAGCCTTCATTTATCAATCAACCTTCTCTCTCCATAAGGTTTTCCCAAAGACTGCACTCCCCACAGTTCTCTTCTTCATGTCCCTTGTTAGCACTTGAATATTATATTCTATCTTGTTATTTTCTTTTTTCTGTTTCTTTACAGGTACCCTATCATATTCTTCACAGTCTAGGATAATGGTAATCTCATAGTAGTGTCTCAACAAATGCTTTTCAAATTGAAAAGGAAGGAGAGAGTTTTAAATTTGCTTTAAAAAGTCTTCATTTCCAGTTGCTGATGAATTCCATGCTGCATAAAAAATATGAGAGCACAATAACGCCAAATTAGTTTAGTTGACAAGCATGTTGGCTGCTTTGTGAATGCCTATTGGAGTAAGCATTGTAAAAAAGTCAAGAGAAATAAAAGCAATTTAAGGATCTCACAATGTAATATTATTATCAACAAAGTACTTAAACAAGTTAATTGATGACAAGAAATGCAAGATAATGATGGATATTTTAATCAAACCTTACATTTATAAAAATAATTTTCTTTAATTGTCCTTTCATAAAACATTTTGAACTTCCTTGAATAAATACAATTAATTGTTATTTACAGAAAAGGAGGGAGTAATGTTTTATGACTAGGGGCAGGGTGGGCAGTTTAACAATAAAAGAAAGTATTCTGAGGCTAGAAAAGTTTCCTTAAGGAGAGAAATCTGAAACTATAATAGATACCCAAATTTAGATGGTTTCTGTAGAGAAACTGAGAAAAAATATACCAAATGTTAGAAAAAGAAAACTAAGTACAGCATCTGGTTTTGAGTTCATCTCTGTAGGTAAAGACAAATAATAATTACACTTCAATGAGATAAATACTCTAATAGAAAGTTTAAAAAGTGACTTGGGAAAACAAAGGAAGTAACTTAGACAACAGATCCTAAAGAGAAGGAAAAATATCTGATTTGCTCTCTGTATGTTGATATTTTTAAAACTACTTTCTGATCCTCTGCCTCCCTTTCTCTGCAGGCCTGCAACATATCAATTGTTAAACTTTACCGGTTTACAACAAGGACTCAACATAGGCCTAAATTTACAATAAGTTTACAGTAAGGACTCAAGATAGGACGTTCTTATCGAGAAATTTAGTTATACATCCACAACTTGTATAAAATCTAAAACCTACAAAATGATATTATATAGTTTATGAATACATACACCTGTAGTAAAACTACATAAACATAGACTAATCATAAATACATCAAATTCATGATAGCCATTGCCTCTAAAAAGGGACAGAGGGGAAGGAAGGAATCTGGGGAGAACGCCAACTTTATATCTAATGTTTTCTTTTAAAAATATCTGAAGCAGACATGACAAAATGTTAATATTTGTTCATTTTAGGTGATAGGCACATGGCTATAATATATTACTTTCTGTACTTTTTCATATTTTTTGAATTAAAAAATAAGAAAGCTACACAGCCAACAAAACCACCATCATTTAATTTCTCCAGCCTTCTAAATCCTTTCACATCCTCTGCAATCAAATGAACTGCCCAAAGTTCTCTTTCAGTTATAAAGTAGCCTCTAGCATTTCCTTCAATTTCTGGAGCCAACTATGGAACTTCAAAGCCTTCTTCAGTCAGATTCCTTGAAAAAACAGGTAACTAGGCAGTGCAAAGAGTACGACCATCATTCAAGTAATATCTTCTAAGTTACTACATGTCTAGGAAAAGATGAGGGGCAGCTGAGGAAGTTGTAACACAATTATTCCATTACAAGCTTAAATATTCTTAAACAAAATTTCAAGAAGAGAGAAGAACCAGGAGTTACATTTGATATACTGGATCTTGAGCTCTAACACCTAGATTCTAACACCTCCTTGAAGCAGGGGTATATTTTCTATTTATCGTTCCTGTTGTCTATTCTTTCCTACCCTCCCTCCCCCCTTCACCCTTCTACCATCACAGCATATAGAATGCCTAGTTCTCTGCATATAGTAAGCACTCTTTAAATGTTTGAGTCAATGATAATGCCATAACGGGTCTATTATGACATCACCAGGACCAGAACACCATGGCTAGCAACAAATTAGTAGCAGGGTAAACCACAATTTCTGAGAGCAGGAAAGACTTCTAGCTTCCTTGTGGGCATGTTTATTAGTATTTGCCTATATTCTGTGAAAAAAAAGAAGAAATAAAAGAAAATCACTCAACTTTATCAAAATGGAAAATAAGATAGACAATGAACATGAATCAGAAAATGAAGTTATGGATTACACCGTCATGTCCAAAAAAGGCATTGATACATCAGAGATCCCTATGCTTGAGATCCCTGACTCAATACAGCAAGTCATCTCTAGGATTGAGCAAGCACAGTTTTTTCGAGCCAGACAGGTAGGTAGTTTGTGAGAAGTTTATAGTTGCAGCTTTTTTTCTTTAACTTTCCATGATCAGTTACATTTTTTTTTTTTTTAACTCACTTTATTTGCAAGGTATTTGACTGTGTTTAGGTAACTTTGATTTCAAATGACAATTTCACCTGACTCTCTGGATTAACAAACTCCAACTTTATATTAATCTCTTTCACTTTCATGTCAGAATTAATTGAGCTTTTTAAGAAATAAATCACGTGCTATTGAATGATCAAGGTTCAAAGACAAATTGAAATCTATAGCTAATTTTGATATCTGATTTTAGTCAATAGTTTTTATTTGTTCTTGACTGATCAAATAGCTATTAGCAGTGATTAGTCCTCATAGATTTTCTTTGTACATTCTTTGGGATTTAAGACAGATACAATCCTGTCATATGCTAATAGAGGCAGTTTTATTTTCTCCTTTCATATCTGTGTGCATTTAAACTTTGTCCTTGATGTACTGAGTAAGCTAGGACCTCCAGCATAAAGTTGAGTAGAAGTAATGAGGCATCCTTACTTTGTTCTTGATGTTAGGGAAAAGCATTTCTGTCTTCCACAACTAAGTATGATAGTAGCTGTATATATTTTATAATGCTCTTTATGAAGTTGGGGAAATTCCCTTCTTTTCCTAGTTTGCCTGGATTTTTAATTAGGAATAGATATTAGGGTGTGTTTTTTAATTTGATAAGTGTATATATTGTGAAATGACCACCACAATACATCTTAGTTAACATCCATGACCATACATAGTTACAAATTTTTTTCTTGTGATGAGACCTTTTAATAATCACTCTCTTAGCAACATTCAAAATGCAATACAGTATTATTCACTATAGTCATCATGCTGTATATCATACCCACATGACTTATTAATATTAGGTTTTATCAAAAGCTTTTACTGCATCTAGTGGAAAAATTATGTGTTTTTTCTCTTTGAATCTGTTAATAGAGTAAATTACTTTGATTTATGAATGTTAAACTAACCTTGAATTTTTGGAATAAACCCCATTTATTCATAATGTAGCATGCAGTTTATCATCTTGTATTATTCAGTTTGCTAAAATTTTGCTAACAATTTATGTCCATGTTTATAATGTACATTAGTCTGTGTTTTTCTTGTAATGGCACCAGAGTAGTACTAACTTTTTAGACCCAAGTAGAACATTCTCTGTAATTTTCTATAAGAGTTTGTTGAAGAATTGGCATTTCCTGTTATATGTTTGGTAGAAACTGCCAATGTTTTGGTGAGGTAGGGAGAAAACCAATGGAACCATCTAGATTTGGAGTTTAATTATGGGAAGGTTTTAGACTATAAATTTAATTTTTTAAAAATATCATAGGACTATTCAGGTTATCTTATTTCTTCTTCAGTGAGCTGTCACAATTTGTGTCTTTCAAGGAATTTGTCCATTGTATCTGAGTTGTTGAGTTTATTGGTTTAAAGTTGTTCATAGTAATCCCTCACTATCCTTTCATTATCTGTAGAATCTTTAATAATGTAACCTCTCATTTCTGATATTAGTAATTTGCCTTTTTTCCTCTGTCTTTTTTCCTTTGCTTATGTCTAAAGGTTTATTGATTTCTCTCTCTGTTTATTAGTCTATAGGTTTATCAATTTTATTGATCTCAAAGAATCAACTTTGGATTTTACTCTAATTGCTTTTCTGTTTTCTATTTTACTGATTTCCAAACTGATCTTTATTATTTCATTTACACTATTTACTTTGGGTATAATTTTCTTTTCTTTTTCCATTTTTTTTTTTTTTTAATCCTCACCCAAGGATATTTTTTCCACTGCTTTTCAGAGAGAGTGGGGGGTGGGGGACAGAGAGTGAGAGAGAAACATCGATGTGAGAAAGACACACTGATTGATTGCCTCCCACTCTCGCACTGACCAGGGCTTGGGATCGAGCCTGCAACTGAGGTACATGTCCTTGGCTGGAATGGAACCCAGGACCCTTCAGTCCATGGGCCAACACTCTAACCACTGAACCAAACCGGGTAGGGCTCTTTTCCAATTTCTTAAGGTAGAAGCTGAGTTCATTGATTTAAGAAATTTATTCTTTTGCAATAAGTGTTTTGTTCCATATATTTCCCTCTCTGCAAATAAAAATGCTCTGGTCTGCCTGGCTGGAGTGGGTCAGTGGTTAAGTGTCGACCCATGAACCAAGAGGTCCCTGGTTCAATTCCCAGTCAGGGAACATTCCTGGGTTTCAAATTTGGTCCCTGGTAGGCAGTGTGCAGGAGTAGCCAATTGATGTTTCTCTCTCATCGATGTTTCTATCTCTCTATCCCTCTCCTTTCCCCTCTCTCTAAAATCAATGAAAATATATTTTAAAATGCTCTATTTTTATTTTATTCAGTTTTCAATACTTTCCCTTTTGATATTTTTCTTTGACCCATGAGTTATTTAGAAGAGTGTTAGTCTCCAAATATTTGAAGATTTTAAAGTTTTATTTGTAATTCAGTTTTATTGGCTTCAGAGAACTTATTGCATATGATCTGACTCCTTGTAAATTTCTTGAGATTTGTTTTATGGTTCAGAATATGGTCTCTATTGGTAAATGCTATGTATACACTTAAATACAATTTGTATTCTGTTGACAAATGAGTGGAGTACTCTATGAATAATGTTGATGTAAGAAACGTGAGAGAGAGACATTGATTTTGTTGTTCCACTTATTCATGCATTCATTTATTGACTTTCTAAAAAATTTATCTTTATTGTTGAAAGTATTACAGATACCCACCCCCCTTTTTTCCCCATTGATCCTCTCCACCCTGCATCCGCACCCCCCTGCCTCCGGCCTTCACAACACTACTTCTATGTCCATGGGTTATGCATATATGCATATAAGTTCTTTGATTAATCTCTCCCCCCCCACACTCCCCCACCCTTCCCTTCACACTGAAATTCATCAGTTTCTTCCATGTTTCTATGTCCCTGGATCAATTTTGTTCCTCAGTCTATTTTGTTTATTAGATTCCGCATATGAGTGAGATCATGTAAAACTGGATCAGGAAGAATCAGAAAACCTGAATAGGCAAATAACAACTGATGAAATCAAAGCAGTAATAGAAAAAACTCACAGCAAATAAAAGCCCTGGTCTGGATAGCCTCACAGGGGAGCTTTCTAATTCTTTAAGTTGTAGGGTTAGATACTTAACTAAAAATTTTTCTTGCTTTTTGAAAATTTTTTAGGCCTGCAGTGCTGTGGGCTTTTCTCTTAGGACTGCTTTTGCTGTGTCCCATAGATTTTGGGTTGTTGTGTTTTCATTTTCATTTGTTTCCAGGAAGCTTTTTATTTCTTTCTTGATCTTATTGGTAACCCATTCATTGTTTGATAACATGCTATTTAGCCTCCATGTGTTTGAATGTTTTTGAGTGTTTTTACTGTAGTTTATTTCTAATTTCATGTCATTGTGATCTGAGATGTTTGATGTGATTTCAATCTTCTTGAACTTGTAGAGACTGGTTTTGTGTCTTAACATGTAGTTTATCTTTGAGAATGACCCATGTGCACTTGAGAGGAATGTATATTTTGCATCTTTGGGGTGAAATATTCCGTAAATATCAATTAAATCCATCTGACCTCGTGTGCCATTTAGAGTCACTGTTGCTGTGTTGACTTTTTGTCTGGAAGATCTATCCAGAGAAGTCAGTGGGGTGTTCAAGTCCACGACTATCACTGTATTGCTGTTGATTTCTCCCTTAAAGTCCTTAAGGTTATTATTGATAGACCCTTATTTATTGCCATGTTGATTCTTTATGCCTATGTTTCTCTCTCTATTTCTTCTTATTATTACATCAGTCCCTTTAACATTTCCTGCAATGCTGGTTTGGTGGTGATAAAGTTCTTTAGCCTTTTTTGTTTGGGAAGCTCTTTATTTCACCATCTATTTTGAATGATAGCCTTGCTGGATAGAGTAGTCTTGGTTTCAGATCCTTGTTTTGCATTACCTTGAATACTTCATGCCCTTCCCTTATGGCCTGTACAGTTTCTGATGAGAAGTCAGCTGACAGCCTTATGGGGACTCCTTTGTAGGTAACAGATTGCTTTTCTCTTGCTGCCTTTAATATTCTCTCTTTGTCTGAATATTTGGCATTTTAATTATGATATATCTGGGCATGGGCCTCTTTGGATTCTTCTTGCTTGGGACTCTCTGTGCATCCTGAACTTGTGTGACTTTTTCCTTGACCAGGTTAGGGAGGTTTTCTGCCATTACTTCTTCAAACAGGTTCTCTAACCTTTGCTTACTTATCACCTCTCCTGGTACTCCTATGAAGCGAATATTGTTGTTTCATGCTGTCCTACAGCTCCCTTAGACTGTCCTCTTGTTTTCTAATTGTTTTTTCTTTTTGGATCTCTGATTGAGTGATTTTTTTCTTCCCTGTCTTCTAACTCACTGATCTGATCCTCAGCTTCCTCTAATCTGTTGTTTATTCCTTCCAATGTATTCTTTATTTCTGCTATGTCATTCTTCATTTCTGACTGGTCATTCTTCATAGTTTCCATATCTTTTTTCATGCTGTTGAGCATCCTTACAATCAGTATTCTGAACTCTATATCTGATAGATTGCTTATCTCCATTTCATTTAGCTCTTTTTCTGGAGACTTCTCTTTCATTTGGGACTTGTTTTTTTGTGTCCCCATTTTGGCTGCCTATTTGGGTTTGTTTCTATGTATTAGGTAGATCTGCTAGGACTCTCAGTCTTTTTGGAGGGCCTCTGGTGCAGGCCAATATCAGACGCTGTTTATGTCTGGCCTTGAGTACCCTGTTTGGAGCTATCAACAACCCACAGCTTGAGTTCTCCTCTGTTGGGGCTGGGTGCATTTGGACAGGACCAAGATGCACACCAAAGTCTGCTTTTCCAAGGCCCCGGTCCAGAGGCGGATCAGGCAGAGCACTCTGAGGTCTGCCTCTGCCTACAGGTTGATTAATTTGATTCTTTAATGAGCCACAAGCTGTAGAAATT